TAAGACATGTTCAGTGAAATGGTGATAAAATACATAAATAAACTGGCGCTACTGAATATTTCGTTGCTCAATGAAATCAACTGGTTTTTGAAGACCGCAGAGATGGCTCGCGTCTATGGAATTCAATTTCATGAGGTGTGTGGTTCCGCTAGACAGAGGGTTTATCTGCTTTCTGGATTTTTCTTTTCTCGGTTGTAGAAGTGTATTCAGGTGTGGAGCAGAGGCTCCCAGTTGCGAGTCGAATCCATGATGTTCCGCCTGGCGCACACGCAAGGATTTGTGCTACCTTCTGTCACCCCATCGCAGAGAATACAGTAAGTCGGACTAGTGGCCATTCAACCATTCAGTGACCAAGAATGCTTCAATTATGGGGTCATTGAGCATGGAATTTCAGAGTCTTTTAAGTGCTATGTACTTTTCATTTTCTGACGTTCCCTGCTATAAAACTTCATTTTTTTCGACATTTTTTGATCTTACTTCATTGACTGTGGACCAAGGAAATGTTTTTCTGGACCTTCGAAAGCGCTCGTTTCCAGGATGGAAGCTCCTGAACAGCTGCAGTTGATAATGGAGCCACTCTCAAAAGTGTACTTTGATCCAGTCATTGTCCTTGATTTTCAAGTAGGCATATGGTTTAGCAAGGCAAACTGGCAATGTGATAGCTTTTTTTCTACGATTATTTCAGTCTCTGTACCCGTCCATGGTGATCGCTTACAACTACTGTTTTTCAACGCTATTTGGTAAGGTGCGTGGCAATTCGAAGTGTTTTTCGATAGTCTAGGTGACTCACATTCAAAATGTGAGAACTTGTAAACAACCTCTGTTTTTGTGAGATTGCTTCATGAGGGAATGCTCAAAATGCGAGGTTCCGGACGCCTGTAACCTATGGCCGTTTTCAGGTGACAGCCCTTGAAGAAATGCATCGTAGCGGTGAACCTGCCATACAAATTGGTGCCATCAAATACACAGTTCCAGTAAGTCATTTTCCATTTCATTCCAGTGAACAGGGCGGAGCTTGATAGCCGCATGAGGCGCTGCTCTATAGAGCGGGTAAAAGTATGGGAACTGCGCGACTCGCGAAATTTTCTTCGGCTTTTCCAGTTTGAATTCGTTTTTTTTTTGGCTTTTCCGATTTTGTTAATGCGGTAATTTTTGGCTTCTGTGCTGTCAAAAGCTGATGGAGGTAAACCGGAATGTAATTATCGCGTACAACAAAATTTGAATGTGACGCACGTCATAATGGTGCTAAAGCTCTTTTTTAAGCAAGTTAAGCGCTATAGCACGCAAAATACGGTGCCTTGGCGATACCGAACGGGACAACCGAAATTCTCAAGTCACGCTCTGCTTATATTAGCACTTAGCCTTCCCTTCTTCATCAACCTCAATATTCTTTTTCGGAGTTCCTGGGCTTTTTCGGAGGGAAATTGCAGGTTCGCCGGAACGCTTGCACTTTTCAGTGCACGTTTCACCCACACGACTCCCCGCTGATGTGCTTTTGTACTTCTTGACCTATGTCCCACCCACAGCAAAGTTAACCCGGCCTCGCCAATGCGTCTTCTGGGAGTGCCGATTTCATAGTAGACAAACAGGCAGGAAGCTCTGCTGTAGTGAGTAGGGTAAATAGGATCGTTTAGTGAAACCTAGCAACGTGTGCATTTTCTCTCCTTGTGAGACTTCGGTCTGTATTATTGAAAAAGCAACTGTTATTCAAGCATATCAATTGCCAAACATAGAGGAATTGTCAGGAACTGAGTTTTCTAATTCGAATTGCTCAATATCGTTTCTGACATGTGGTTGGCACCGGTAGCCAAAATAGTCCCAGTCAGAGAGGCCTGATTTACTGTCTATCTTTCCAAAGTGAACCTTACAGCAAAATGAGTGTCGTTTTAGATCTCGCGCTGGTAAAATAATGTTTCTACAACGAGAGATAGAGCAGTTTTGTAGCAGCCGGGATAATCCTCGACCAAAGCGGCTTTCCCATCTAGGAGAGCATAGCATACGAAACCAGAAGAGCCCGTGTTCCACCTGTGGGAGCGCTGTGCGGGCACACTGAGCATGTGAAAGGTCTACTGCGCTTTCGTGGGATTCAGCTACATAGACAACTGCCACAGGGCATAATTGTTAAGAAATGAAGCTGCTGCAATGTTATATTGAGACTGTTTTCATAAAACCAGTGGTACTGACTCTATTTTGCAAAAATTCTCAAATAGTTTTATTACAGAGATCCGCATTTGTGGAATGTGCAACAAAGAAGATGTTGCATTGTTCGCCTCTGTCGGCGGCGTTTGTCACCTACTCGAGGCGAAACGGCATTTTACCAACGCTTTTACGAGAGGTTTGTCGTCAGTTAAAAACAGTTATTTTAGCAGCTGGTCAAAAGATTTGCAGGTTCTTGGTGCGAGAATCATGGTGAAAGTCCTCTATGAAACATGTAACTAGCAAGGTGCGTCGTTGCTGCGAATTACGAATTCTTTTGCGATTCACACCTCTTAATCCTCGAATTTCAGCGTCTAAAACGAGTTTTGGATGCTCGTCAGCTAGCGCTGAAGCTCGTGGCTAACGTGACTTACGGGTACACGAGTGCAAACTACAGCGGAAGGAATGCCTTGTGTTGAAGTGAGCTTTTTTTCTATTTATTGGTTTATTACAAGGAACGATTGAGGAATCGCTTCGAACAAGCCCCCACCTGCCAATAGGGCAAGCATATCGGAAAATGTGTTTGTTTGGTGGGCGACGTATTCTTGGCAAGGGACGAGAAACACTGGAGAGAGCGATAGCCCAGGTAAATGAAGGTAACTATGGAGGTGCCGAGTGATCTATGGTGACACCGATAGCATGTTTGTGCTTGTACCAGGTTCGTCAGCTACTGCGTAGCAATCTCTCAATTAGCGATGGTTTTGGGGCTGATATCTCAAAAGCCTGCAGTCGAGAGAACAGATGGCTGTTGCTCTTGAAATCAATTTGTTTCTCTTCAAGAGTCACTAGAGTTCGGAGCGCGTCGCAGATTGTCGACGTATCGCCGAAACGGATCACCAAAGGCTAATCCTACCCACTGATTGTCCTTAAACTGGAGAGGTGTCTTGATCCGTCTTCACAGCTGTTGGGAGACTCAAATTCGGGAAAAATCTCGTTGTTGGATGCTGTGTATTTGTAGGTGTACATGGGTTGTGTTCTGGAGACGAAGAAGCGGTACGCTGGATGGATGTATCGAGAGTGAGGACGACGAAAAAGTCAGCTGGACGCGAAGTGGAGACCGATTCGCGAATAGAGGGAAGAAGGAAGATACGTGTATGGTGGTTGCAAATGTTGAGCCATGTCATTCCTGAGAAGGGGACCTTTTTTCGGATTGAAAACATGTATCTAGATATATCGAAGCCCAAATGATTCCACAGTAAACAATGTGTGTGAGACAATAATTTCACACGTGGAGGAGATGGATATGGAGGTGGATAGTGGCTGGGGTGATCACCACCGAACGCTGGTCTTTCGAGCCAAGAATCATCAGATTCGAAGTTCTGTATGAATAACCCTGTCAAGCTATATGGGAAAGGTTTTTTAAGGTAATAGATGAGCTGTGAGGTGAAAATCTGGCGAAGTTTTTGTTGATTTCTTTAGCCTTTAATCCGGTTAGAAAATCGATTTTCATTTTGCGGGAAACCACACTCTTTCGTTCGGACAGTCCTTTTTTATCCGTGTAGTTTTCTCGAAGTCAAGGGATTCACGAAAATGGTTAGGTTGGGCTTCATAGTGGGAGTGGAGGATGTTGTGATAATGACCACATGGCGACCAACGCACAGAAATTCGTCGAGAAGACATCGCGAAATGGGACCCCTTTTGAGCCTGTCGACTTTATGGCACACCACCTCCAACCTTATCTTGCATAGTACCATGGTTCAGTGGCTCTAAAAATTCTAAAAGTTAAAGAAGGGGGAACAAAGACGCAGAGCCGAAATGTACGGCTTTGCAAGAACCTCGGCATGGTATATTGATGGCTGATATCTTCTGTAAGCTCTCCACGAGGTTGTTAAGCAGACTTTATTGGCTTACGTTTCGGCGGGGTCGCCTTCTTCAGAGCCTGAAAGGATCGAAGCAATTTATGACTACCCGACCAAACGCCTCCGCTATCCTACTGAAATTCGAGAAGCAAAACAGGTCATCACGCAATACCAAGGTGGGCCACTTACCGTAACTTAGTCCGGTACTCGAGACCACCCGGAACCAGTAGTGGGGACACCAGCACTCTACATCAAGTTTAGTCCGGATTGCTGTGTGTCCCACTACTGGTTCCGGGTGGTCTCGAGTACCGGACTAAGTTACGGTAAGTGGCCCACCTTGGTATTGCGTGATGACCTGTTTTGCTCGAATTTCAGTAGGATAGCGGAGGCGTTTGGTCGGGTAGTCATAAATTGCTTCGATCCTTTCAGGCTCTGAAGAAGGCGACCCCGCCGAAACGTAAGCCAATAAAGTCTGCTTAACAACCTCGTGGAGAGCTTACAGAAGATATCAGCCACAAACGGAGTTATCGATTTCTAAAACTCACGGACGTTTTTGTTCAGAAAGAGTGAAATGTTCTGTTGTGAATTGGCTGATCACTTTTGGATAAGTGATCCTTTGAAAATTTACATCACGCGGAGCACCCATCCAGCTATTTGGTTGATTATTTGTATTTCAATAGTGTTGTCCTATTTCGTTCATGGTTGGCACAGTCCATTATGAAGTTCTTTCGCTTCAGGTCTTGGAACGCAGCCTGAGGCTGATCTTCTCCCAAGACTGGCGAGCTTTGAGTACCTATCTTAACACTAAGCTATCTCGACTCCAAGATTTGCCGTACACCGACTTCGTTCTTTGCCAAGGAATTCCGCGGACATTACGCTGATAACGCTCCCGTTCCACAACTGAAAGTTGCACTGTAAGTCAATTGTTCGGTGATGAAAAGAGATCATGTCAATTAGCCCACGTTTAGACGTCTCGCAGCTGAGAATCCTGCACACATTTCCTTGGTTGGAGAACGGATACCGTATATTGTGACTCAAGGCGCTCCCGACGCTACAGTGATCTCCTGTGTGAGGTCGATTCCTGACTTTCTGGCAGATAAAAGTTTGCAGGTGAGATTGCAAACAGATTGCTTGTTTTGTATTAATGACGTTACGCTTTGTAGCAGGTA